CGCCGCCTTGCGCCGCCGCCGGCGCTGGCTACTGCAGCTGCTGTCCGCCGCCGCCGCTCGCTGCGCTGCCACCTGCAGCCCCGCGCCGCACCGTCGCCCCATGCCGCTCGCGCCGTCGCCGAGTCGCGCCGCCGCCGTCGAACCGGTACAACCCTGTCAATCTCGGTTTTATTCCGGTTTTCTTCCGTTCGGTTTAGTTAGATCGGTTTTTCTTTAGGTTTTTCTTATTTGACGAACGTTCATTCTTTCGTTCGTTTTAATGGACGGTTTTCATCGTAAAAATTCTGTTAGCGAACATTCGCACCGTATTTTTTCCTTTTTAGTTTATTTTCGGTCAGGGACCTATCCGTGAATAGTTTTATCGCGGTTTAGCCCCTGATCTTTAAACTAGTGTAACTTTTTACTTGTTTTCCAAATTAGTTAAAACCAGCGCCTAAATTTTCGTATCTTCTGTTCTTTCCAGTTAACCAACTTGAACATCATTTTGGTACTGTAAAAATTGAGTTTAGTTCAGATTAGTAAACGATCTTGTTTCGCTCGGTTTTTGAGTTTCGTTATTCCGTTTGAGTTGAATCTTTTTGCAAATCATAGCTAATCACTTGTACCTACTGTTAAGATCTAATCCACCTGATAATATTGTTGTTAGGTATGACTTTTGTTAGTTTAAGTCATTTGCTTGTTTCGTGTTTGATTTGGATCTTTTCTCGGTTTTCTGTTGCTTCGTTTGAGTGATTGCTTATGTATGCTACTGTTTGTCTATGCTAGATTATGCGGAGTGCGAAGCTTGTTACTACGAATCCTTAGAGTTTGCAGATCGTCAGCAAGGCAAGTTACGCTTTGATCATACTCTTTTATACCCAGTTTTTTTTACTATGCATTAATATTGCTCCTCAAACAATTGCATGAGTAGGATTGGGAACCTGTGGTTTGGTTGTAGTATTTGAGGTAGGAACCTAATACCTTTTGATCATCCCGGGAATATACGTTATACTTATTATTCCTTAGCCATGCTCATAGGCGGGGATTGGATCATGATACACACATGAAAGTTTGAGAGTTATTTAATCATGGATAACATTAAGGTGGCAACTTTAATATACATCTCGGTGGATTGGTTGAGGCAACTGGGGAACCCAGTGTTGCCTGTTTTGGAAAATCCCGAAGTACCCTTGTGATTTTTCCTACGGTTTGCCACCCAGACTCAAAGGGATCATAAAATTATTCATGCTAGAAACTTCGGTGTGCAGCCACAAGCCATTATGGGCTCTGGCATAGTTGAGTAAGTTGTGTGAGCTCTTGAAGAGGTGTACTAGCAGATGTAGCGGAAAGTAGGTGTACCGGTCCGCCTGGAGTAGAGGGTTAATGCTTCAGAAAGACTATGTCTCGATCATCCGATCATGGATGCGGTCGAGTCTTGTGGGGGAAAATGCGCAAACCTCTGCAGAGTGTATGAACTAATCATGGTTAGCCATGTTCGCGGTTATGGACATCTTGAGTATCTAGTATTTGAATCTATTGATGTGATCTCAACATGTTACTTTAATTAATTTGAATTGGGTTAAGCATGATATTTTTAATTGGGATTTGAGTTGGGGTTACCTTCTCAAATATTGGGCAACTTGGGAGTAGTTAAATAAATTTATTCCTTTCTTGTAGGAAAAAACTAGCTTTATGCAAAAACCATAAACTTACAGCCTCCACCAGCCAAATATTGCATGTATGTATAGTTCTTGCATTTCATTGTTATACAGTGTAACTCTGCCAACATATTCAATGTGCTGACCTACATGGCTGCAACGTCTCATGTTGCAGACTACTCAGACGACGATTAAGGTGCGATAGGTCGTTGTTTGCACTCAGCTATGCCGTTGGAGTTGATGGACTCATTTCCCTATGAAGCTTCCATAGTTATCTAGTTTAGATAGCCTTCAGCCATGATATTTTTGTGTAATCATACTCTTTATAAAGACTCGGTGTAATAAGTGTGTGATTAAAACTTTGTTATAATTCCTCAAGTACTGTGCGTGTCAGGATTACCGATTTTGGGATGATACTGATGCACAGAGACTTACCGTTTGAGGTTGAGTCGCTACAATAAATTGAAAGTTAAAAAAAAAGTCGAGTAACCAATGGAGACGAGACCAACTGGACAAGTATTTCTGTACAATTTCCATTTCCTGGGATCAAGGAGTCAAGGGCGCCATTAAAGCCTCGGAAAAGGGCCTTGCCGGTGGATACGAGTCACGTAACTTTCCTTGATAAACTAGCAGTCACGTACGGTCCATGGCTTGGGTAGTCTTCTCTGTGCCGTCATGTGCAAGTATACTTGTTCTTGGACCAAGTCGATCCGTCGGCCGTGGACTAGCTATTCCCCTACATGTACGTAGCCTGCCAAGCGATCGCGCACTCAAATGGCCACGGGTTAGTATTCGCAACCGAGACTGGACATACATGGTTGATACATCACCGGGATCCTGTAGAACGGACAGCCCGGCGATGAAACATAAAGCAGCTATCACACACGCGCATCTCCTTTGTTTCGTACCAGGAAGGCAGGAAGAAGTGTTGCGTGAGGCCGCGAACCACAACCATGTCCCTCAACCTTCGTCGTGTCATGCTCGTCGCCGTGCTCTGCCTTTCAACCGGAACCTGCGTGGGCTCGGGCGTTTCATCTCCGGACGCTCTGAACCATGGCCGCCGCAACATCACCGACGGCCAGACACTCGTCTCGGCCGGTGGCTCCTTCACACTGGGGTTCTTCTCCCCGGGCGCGCCGAGCCGGAGGTACCTCGGGATATGGTTCTCCGCGTCCATGCGCGAAGCCGTGGTCTGGGTGGCCAACCGCGACAACCCGCTCAACGACACCGCCGACGTGCTGGTGATCAACGGCGCGGGCATCCTTCACCTTCTCGATGGATCCAGTCGGGCCGCGTGGTCCTCGAACACGACCGACGGCGACACTCCTTCCGCGGCGGTGGCCCAGCTGCTTGAGTCCGGCAACCTGGTGGTGCGCGACGAGAGCAGCGGCGCCGTCCTCTGGCAGTCGTTCGACCACCCGTCCAACACCCTGATCGCGGGCATGAGGTTCGGCAGGAACCCGCAGACCGGCGTCGAGTGGTCCCTCACGTCGTGGCGATCCCCCGACGACCCGGCGACGGGCGATTGCCGTCGCGCCATGGACACCCGGGGGCTCCCGGACTGCGTGTCGTGGCGCGGCGGCGCCAAGAAGTACCGCACGGGGCCGTGGAACGGGCTGTGGTTCAGCGGCGTCCCGGAGATGGCGTCCTACTCCGACATGCTCACCAACCAGATGGTGGTCCGGCCCGACGAGGTGGCCTACGTGTTCAACGGCACGGCGGCCGCGCCCTTCTCGCGGCTCGTGCTGAGCGAGGCCGGCGTGATCCAGCGGCTGGTGTGGGACGCCGATCGCCGGGTGTGGCCCGTGTGGGACGTGTGCGACGACTACGCCAAGTGCGGGGCCTTCGGGCTGTGCAACGTGAACACGGCGTCCACGCTCTTCTGCGGCTGCGTGGTGGGGCTCGTCCCCGTGTCCCCCGCGCACATGAGGGAGGCGTCGGCCGGTTGCCAGAGGAAGGCGCCGCTGGAGTGCCGCGACGGGGGCGCCACCACGGACGGGTTTGCGGTGGTGTCCGGCGTGAAGCTCCCCGACACGGACAACGCGACGGTGGACGCCAGCGCGACGCTGGAGGAGTGCAGGGCGAGGTGCCTGGCCAACTGCTCGTGCGTTGCCTTCGCCGCCGCGGACATCAGAGGAGGTGGTGGAGGCAGCGGCTGCGTCATCTGGTTCGGTGACATCGTCGATGTCCGGTATGTCGACAAAGGGCAGGAGCTCTACGTGAGGCTGGCAAAGTCTGAACTAGCAGGTACGTACGTGCAGCTGCAGTGCAACTATGCCAATTTTTATGGGTCCCAACAACAATTAACAATTGGTCAAATATCGTCATATATCATATATGTAACTGTTAATGCAGTAATTTTTTCGTGAATTTATTTGTGCAGCTAATAAAAAGAGGGGGAGTATGCTAAAGATTTTACTGCCTGTTATGGCATGTCTGCTTGTACTGATGTGCATATTCCTTGTTTGGATATGCAAGTTCAGAGGTAGAATCACGGCCGCTTCAGAACTCAGGATGCATTATTACCATAGCACTTCTGAGGGCTACTAACAAACAATATTGCAATTCTTTCTGTTAGGCATGCGCCGTAAAAAGGATATCCAGGCAAAGACTATTCTGGGTGATGAAAATATAGAACTTCCATTTGTTAGCTTCAGAGACATTGTTACCGCAACAAACGATTTCTCTAAGGAGAACATGCTCGGACAAGGAGGCTTTGGGAAGGTTTACAAGGTAACAAAATAATCTTACCGAGTACAATGTCTGATGAAGGTGACAACACTGTATTCTCCAGCTTAAGAATGATAAGAAATTCCACAGGGAATGCTAGAAGATGATACAGAAGTTGCTATCAAAAGGCTCAGTAAGAGCTCAGGGCAAGGAGTAGAAGAATTCAGAAATGAAGTTGTTCTAATTGCCAAGTTGCAGCACAGAAACCTTGTTAGACTTCTTGGTTATTGCATTCATGGAGATGAAAGGCTTCTGATTTACGAATACTTACCAAACAAAAGCTTGGATATCTTCATTTTTGGTATGTTCAAATTTACATTTTCATAAAAGCTAGCATGCTATTTGAAGGAGCTTGACTGCATAATTATAACAATGTTGCATATTGTTTTTGCTAGATGATGCAAGTAAGTATGTTCTTGACTGGCCAACAAGGTCTCAAATAATCAAAGGAGTAGCCAGAGGACTTCTTTATCTCCACCAAGATTCAAGGTTGACTATAATTCATAGAGATCTCAGATCAAGCAACATCTTGTTAGATGTGGATATGAGCCCAAAGATATCTGATTTTGGTATGGCAAGAATCTTTGGTCGCAACCAACAAGAAGCAAACACTAACCGAGTTGTTGGGACTTAGTGAGTAATTCGTGCAAGACATCTATTTAGTTAAAATTATATGTTACTCAAATTATTGATCATTTGTGATGCAGCGGTTACATGTCTCCTGAATATGCAATGGACGGCGCCTTCGCCTTCTCTGTCAAGTCCGATACCTATAGCTTTGGTGTCCTACTCTTGGAGATCATAAGTGGTTTGAAGATTAGCTTACCCCACCTCTCAGACTTTCCAAACCTATTAGCTTATGTAAGTATGATTAATTCTAATTTTGCCCAGACTCCAAATGAAATTAGTAATTTTATAAGAGTTTGGTTCAATTGGTTCAGGCATGGAACTTATGGAATGATGGAAAGCCAATGGATATGGTGGACTCTTCCATTGTTGATAATTGTTCACCAACTGAAGTTCTACGGTGTATTCATATAGGACTCTTATGTGTGCAAGACAATCCAAACAATAGGCCACTCATATCAAAGGTTGTGTTCATGTTGGAGAACGAAGCCACGCCACTCTCAACTCCAAGACAACCTGTGTATTTTGCACAAAGGAACTCTGAAGCAAAAGAAATAGGAGAAAATACCACCAGCTCTATGAATAGCATGAGCCTCACAGTGTTGGAAGGGTGGTAGGGAAGATATTAATGCTCCACAATTTAATATGTATTCCCTCCGTTTTTTTAGTATGCATATAAGATTTGGTCAAAGTCAAACTACACAAAGTTTGAACAAACTTATATATAAAAAATCAACATATACAATATTAAAGTTACATGGTATGAAAATTCATTTCATGATGCATCTAAAAATATTGATTTCATACTGTGATTGTTGATATTTTTTCTTATAAAATTAGTCAAACTTTACAAAGTTTGACTTTGACCAAATTTTATATGTAGACTAAAAGAAACGGAGGGAGTAAAACATTACCTTTTTTGTAAGTAATGTACTTCTACATTATAAGAGAAAGGAGATTGGTCTGTTAAAGCAATGTTTTTTTTTTACCCTGAGAGCGTAGAACAATAGTTCTACAGTGTATTTTTTCCATTAAATTAAAATATGTACAACAACAACAACAAACAACAACAAAGCCTTTAGTCCCAAACAAATTGGGGTAGGCTAGAGGTGAAACCCATAAGATCTCGCAACCAACTCATGGCTATGGCACATGGATAGCAAGCTTCCACGCACCCCTGTCCATAGCTAGCTCTTTGTCGATACTCCAATCTTTCAGGTCTCTCTTAACGGACTCCTCCCATGTCAAATTCGGTCGACCCTGCCCTCTCTTGACATTCTCCGCACGCTTTAGCCGTCCGCTATGCACTGGAGCTTCTGGAGGCCTTCGCTGAATATGCCCAAGCCATCTCAGACGATGTTGGACAAGCTTCTCCTCAATTGGTGCTACCCCAACTCTATCTCGTATATCATCATTCCGGACTCGATCCTTCCTCGTGTGGCCACATATCCATCTCAACATACGCATCTCCGCTACACCTAATTGTTGAACATGTCGCCTTTTAGTCGGCCAACACTCCGCGCCATACAACATTGCGGGTCGAACCGCCGTCCTGTAGAACTTGCCTTTTAGCTTTTGTGGCACTCTCTTGTCACATAGAATGCCAGAAGCTTGGCGCCACTTCATCCATCCGGCTTTGATTCGATGGTTCACATCTTCATCAATACCCCCATCCTCCTGCAACATTGACCCCAAATACCGAAAGGTGTCCTTCCGAGGTACCACCTGGCCATCAAGGCTAACCTCGTCCTCCTCACACCTAGTAGTACTGAAACCGCACATCATGTACTCGGTTTTAGTTCTACTAAGCCTAAACCCTTTCAATTCCAAGGTTTGTCTCCATAACTCTAACTTCCCATTTACCCCCGTCCGACTATCGTCAACTAGCACCACATCATCCGCAAAGAGCATACACCATGGGATATCTCCTTGTATATCCCTTGTGACCTCATCCATCACCAATGCAAAAAGATAAGGGCTCAAAGCTGACCCCTGATGCAGTCCTATCTTAATCGGGAAGTCATCGGTGTCGACATCACTTGTTCGAACACTTGTCACAACATTATCGTACATGTCCTTGATGAGGGTAATGTACTTTGCTGGAACTTTGTGTTTCTCCAAGGCCCACCACATGACATTCCGCGGTATCTTATCATAGGCCTTCTCCAAGTCAATGAACACCATATGCAAGTCCTTCTTTTGCTTCCTATATCTCTCTGTAAGTTGTCGTACCAAGAAAATGGCTTCCATGGTCGACCTCCCAGGCATGAAACCAAACTGATTTTTGGTCACGCTTGTCATTCTTCTTAAGCGGTGCTCAATGACTCTCTCCCATAGCTTCATTGTATGGCTCATCAGCTTAATTCCACGGTAATTAGTACAACTCTGAACATCCCCCTTGTTCTTGAAGATTGGTACTAATATACTCCGTCTCCATTCTTCTGGCATCTTGTTTGCCCGAAAAATGAGGTTGAAAAGCTTGGTTAGCCATACTATCGCTATGTCTCCGAGACCTTTCCACACCTCAATGGGGATACAATCAGGGCCCATCGCCTTGCCTCCTTTCATCCTTTTTAAAGCCTCCTTCACCTCAGACTCCTGGATGCGCCGCACAAAACGCATGCTGGTCTCATCAAAGGAGTCGTCCAGTTCAATGGTAGAACTCTCATTCTCCCCATTGAACAGCTTGTCGAAGTACTCCCGCCATCTATGCTTAATCTCCTCGTCCTTCACCAAGAGTTGGCCTGCTCCGTCCTTGATGCATTTGACTTGGCCAATATCCCTTGTCTTCCTCTCCCGGATCTTAGCCATCTTATAGATGTCCCTTTCACCTTCCTTCGTGCCTAACCGTTGGTAGAGGTCCTCATATGCCCGACCCCTTGCTTCACCAACAGCTCGCTTTGCGGCCTTCTTCGCCATCTTGTACTTCTCTATGTTGTCTGCACTCCTATCCAGGTATAGGCGTCTGAAGCAATCTTTCTTCTCTTTAATCGCCTTGTGGACATCATCATTCCACCACCAGGTATCCTTATCTTCGCTTCTCCTTCCCCTGGACACTCCAAACTCCTCCGAGGCCACCTTACGAATGCAAGTCGCCATCTTCATCCACACATTGTCCGCATCCCCTCCTTCCTCCCAAGGGCCCTCCTTAATTACCCTCTCCTTGAACACCTGAGCTACCTCCCCCTTGAGCTTCCACCACTTCATTCTAGCGACTTTGGCACGCTTATCCCGCTGGACACGAATCCGAAAGCGGAAGTCAGCAACCACCAGCTTATGCTGGGGTACAACACTCCCTCCAGGTATCACCTTACAGTCTAGGCACGCACGCCTATCTTCTCTTCTCGAGAGGATGAAATCAATCTGACTAGAGTGTTGTCCACTAGTAAAAGTCACCAGATGTGATTCTCTCTTTCTAAAGAGGGTGTTAGCTACAATCATGTTGTAGGCTAGAGCAAAGCTTAAGACATCTTCTCCTTCTTGATTCCTGATGCCATAGCCAAAGCCCCCATGCGCCCCTTCAAAACCTGTGTTAGATGTACCCACGTGGCCATTGAGGTCTCCTTCTATGAAGAGCTTCTCACCAATCGGTACACTCCTAACCATGTCTTTCAAGCCTTCCCAGAACTCCCTCTTGGTGTTCTCATTATGGCCTACTTGCGGGGCATACGCGCCGATAACATTGAGAACCAAGTCCTCAACTACCAGCTTGACCAGGATAATCCGGTCCCCACGTCTCTTGACGTCTACCACTCCATACTTGAGGCTCTTGTTGATCAAGATGCCTACGCCATTTCTGTTTGCAGCCGTCCCCGTGTACCACAGCTTGAAGCCGGTATCCTCCACCTCCTTCGCCTTCTGTCCTCTCCATTTGGTTTCTTGGACGCAAAGGATATCAACACCTCTCCTCACCGCTGCATCAACTAGCTCCCGAAGCTTCCCTGTCAGAGACCCTACGTTCCAGCTACCTAAGCGAATCCTCCTAGGCTCGGCTAGCTTCCTTACCCTTCGCACTCGTCGAGTCAAATGCGAAGACCCTTGCTCATTTTCACTACATCCGGGCGCCGATGTAGCGTGCCACTAAGGATGCGACGACCCGATCCTCGTTCACTTGCCACCGTATCCGGATCAAGATACGGCGCGCCACTTGAGGGGTGACGGCCCGGCCCTTGCCCATTTTCCACCACACCCGGGTTCCGATGTGGCGCGTCGCTGAGAGGGTTACGCCCCAACGAAAATCTTTTGGGTTTCATCTCCATAAGAGTGGCTGAGTTTTTACGTTGGCTCGCCAAGCCTATCACAACCCTCCTCCTTTACCCGGGCTTGGGACCGGCTATGTTGAGACAACATAGGCGGAGTTATTAAATTAAAATATGTACAAATACAAATATACATTCAAGCATATGAAGATCTGCATCTAACCAACTCTAGTTTTCTCTAACATGAAAACAAGATAATAAAAAGAGGCTAAACAAATCAAGGGAGCAATCCACTGATTGAGAGTATCTAGTTTCTTTACCTTTGCCCTATGCTTGCTTGACCAATAGAAGATCTTGTTTGAGCATATGCTTCCAAGAAAAAACCACCTGGCATTTCATTTTTGAAAATTCTTCCATTTCTCTGCATCCAAATGTTCGAGCAGCCCAGGATGATGATATCTAAGGCAATTTACTTTGGGAAGGTCTGATGTACAAGCAACATTTCATCAAATAGTGAAATTGCTCTGTGCCTATTTGGAGAAATTGAGTGACAATAGTCTTGTGCAAATGTACAGTCTCAAAGCAGATGATGGATGTTATCCTCGGTGTTTTCATTGCACAACACACAGTCCTATGAATCCATGTTAAAGGATTTTCTTTGAAGTAAACCCTTGTGTTCACTCTATCATACAAAGCTAGCCAGAAGAAAATTTTCTGTTTGATTCTACTTGCCCATTTCTAGAGCCAGTGAAAGAGGCAATGGGCACTTAATGGACTCATGATGTGCCTGTGCATCTTCCTGGAAGAGAAAACTTTTGCATTCCTTTTTGCATGCCCAAGCTTCTGATACATATTACAACTTTTTTATTAACCAAAGGATATGAATAATGATGCCCCACAAAAAAAGAAGATATGACTGATGACTAGTGGTGTACCTATTCATATTTGAAGATGCTACAAGGCAATCAATGCTTGAAAGGCCCACACCCTTCAATATAAATTAAGGGGCAACAAGTCAAAAGTCGAAAGCCGAAAGTGCCCTTCTCAGCTCGAGCTCATATGAGCTCGGGTGAACAGTAAAATCGGAAAAAAAATGAAAAAAATTCTCGGTTTTTTGCGGCAACATTTGACAAATGTTTTCAATGCTTGCAAATTGTCATCACGAAATTACATTCGTGGAGGTCGTGGCAAAAGAAACAAAATCAGCACTCTAAAAATAGTTTTTTGGAGCATCAATTTTGTTATTTTTGCCACGACTTACACGAATGTCAGTTTACAATGAAATTTTGCAAACATTGAAACATTTGTCAAATATTGCTAAATTTTTATTTTTGGAATTTGTTTTCATTTTTTTCTGATTTTACTCTTCATTCGAGGTCAGTTTATCCAATTCCGTAACAAGTGGACTTCTTTATCTCCACCAAGATTCAAGATTGAAATTACTACAAATACGATGCTTCTTGTCTGGCCTTGGTACGACGAGGAATACAGCAGCGAGCTGCATTTTTCTGCTAGGTGTGGAATGGTTTGATCTTCAGCGTCATACAGAAATCCGATGCAAAGTGCCATACTTATAGCATCGTTCATTGAAGATCAAGTTTAATCTAGAAGACCGCGAGTGGTGTTAATTCAGAAATTCGAGAGTTGATCAGTGGTATATAGAACAGCCACCTAGGAGCTAGTAGATGACCCAACATTATTGTTTACCGAAAACGAGATCGCTTACTATGGGTATAGTTCTCAGTAAAGTTCTCACCTTGGCCAATTTTATTCTACTACTTCTACGGGAGCCACATGTTTGGAAAAACATTGCAACAAAAATTGTTCTTTCATACCATTAGTTCCTCAATTTACTATACGTATGTAGCATAGCGCACCGTCAGCTCATCAAAATGTCGTAAAACCCCAAGGGGAATCTGGCTCATACGGGCAGCTACTGATCAAGGCTAGAATACAAAACCCAGGGAAGCAGCCCAAGAGATGCCAATGTCAAACAACACACGGCATTACCACAGACGTCGCTGTTCCAGTGTGGGTCAAGCTCATGACTTTTTTGTGGCCGAGGCCGTGATGGGAGACCAGATAGATCGTCGGAGAGCAGAGTGAAGAAGACACCACACGCCGCGTACACGACGACCAGCTTACCTTCCTCCACTAGAAATGCGGCAGCAAGCATACCCACCACATGACATGATGTGAGGTTTCTCCTGTCGCCCTCTCACTCCAGACTCCAAACTGAACCCGTAGTGACGAATTTTCTTTGCGCGTGCAGCACCGTCGTGTGAGACTTGGATTCTGCTCTCCGGCCGGTCGTCTACTGGCCGGCCATCTGTGCTATGGTCTATGCCGACCTTGATGTCTTTATCCATATCACTTGTCCCATTAACTCCGCAGTTTGACATCTTGCATCTATATCTATGACACATTTTCACCCTCGGCACAAGCAGAGATGAAGGAGGCAGCCTAATGGCTATGCGCTACATCCCCATCTTCTTCCTCCTATTCTTGAGTTCATTCTGCAAATCTGATGATCAACTCACACAAGCAAAGCCACTCACCCACGGCCACACTCTCATCTCCGAAACCGGAGATTTCGCTCTTGGCTTCTTCTCCCCGACGACCTCCAACAGGAGCTTTTACCTTGGCATATGGTACCATAGCCTCCCCGGACCACGGACTGTTGTGTGGGTCGCCAATCGAGACAACCCAATCACCAACCCTTCGTCCGGGACGCTTACCGTCACCAGCAATTCATCATTGGTATTATCTGACTCCAGTGGCCGCAATATATGGATGACAGCAAGCAATATACCCGCTAGAGTTTCCAGAGCTCATGCAGTGCTACTCAACTCGGGGAACTTTGTTCTCCGGTCGCCGAATGGTGCGGACATATGGCAGAGCTTTGATCACCCGACCGACACAATGCTTCCAACAATGAGATTTTTGGCAAGCTACAAGGCACAAGTTGTCGGGCGGTTCATTGCTTGGAAGGGACCGCATGACCCGTCCTCCGGGAACTTCTCCTTAAGTAGCGACCCCAGCTCGCCAACCCCTCAGCTCATCATTTGGCATGGGACCAAGCCATACTGCCGCACCACTGTGTTGAATGAAGCTTCGGTGATTTACGGGGGGACATACCTGAGCAACACCGGATCTGTATTGTATGAAGCGAACATCAACTCTAGAGGTGAGTACTACATCATGTTCACAATCTCTGAGAACTCGCCATTCACACGCATCACACTTGACTACAGTGGCAAGTCCCAATTTCTAAGCTGGAACAATCAGTCATCTTCATGGGCACTAATTGGTGAACACCCCACTGCTGCATGCGACCTCTATGCCTTGTGTGGCCCGTTCAGTTATTGTGACTACACTCAGATTATCCCAGCCTGCCAATGTCTTGAGGGGTTTGAGCCCATTGATGATATTAGCTCTTCTAAAGGATGTAAGACAACTTCTAACCACTTAGGGTTTTTTTTTGCGAATAATTTTAACCACTTAGGTTAAATCTTCAACTGGCTTGCTGAAGAGAGAATCTTTCCCCTCCCTCCCGCTCGCCCCCCGCGAGGCGACGGGAGGAACCCTACCGCGCCGCCGCCAGCTCCCTTCTCCGCCCCCTCCTCGTCCCTCGCCGCCGCCAGGGGGCGCGACCGGGCGAAGCCTGGCCGGCGCCGGCGGCGGCGAGGCCTCCTCGTTCCCCCTCCCAGTGGCCTTGGCGCGGGCCGGCGTGGCTGGCTCGGGGTGCCTCGCTGTCCCAGGGCGAGGCGGCGCTGCGGCGCGGCGGCGTGGTGTTGGCACTGCTCGTGACGGTGGCGCGACGGGCTGGGCGTCGGAGGACGCGCCGGTGCGTGGAGCGGCGGGGGCGGCGAGCGGCTGGTGCGGGCAGTCATGGCGGCGGGCGGATCTGGCGTGGCGGCGGGTGCGACGAGGCAGGGCGTCGGTGGCGGGCTCCAGTGGCCTGGGCCGGCTCCTGGCTTGGCGCTGCGGTGGTGCGGGTCGCGGGCGACAAGGATCTGTGGGCGGCCGCCCCTGCCCTGGCTTCGGGCTGGTGGGGGTGGCGGCGCAGTGGTGGTGGCTGGCAGGGCGTGTTGGTCGAGTCTGCATCAGATCCTTCCTGGTCTGGCGCTCAGACGTCGACGGACGGCGCGAAGAGGCCTCTCCGGTGAGTTTCCATGGCTGCAGCTGCGGGTTGATTTGGTCTCCCTCGTCGGCGGGCTCGCGGCTGCCGATGGCCTCGCGGAGATTTGTGTCAGCTACCATGGTGGGACGACATGGGGGTGCTCGCGGGGAGCTTGGTAGGAGGGATAGGTGGCCTCGATGCGGTCGCGCCACCTGTCGCCGGCACGGTTTGCCGGTCCGGATGCGTCCGCTCCTCCTTCTCCCCCTTTCCCCGTGCTCGGCGGGGAGCTTGGTTGGAGGGATGGGTGGCCTCGATGCGGTCGCGTCGCCTGTCGCCGGCATGGTTTGCTGGTCCGGATTCGTCCGCTCCCCTTTCTCCCCCTTTCCTCGGCCGTGGGCGGGTTGGCACAGGTTTACCAGCGGAGCGTCTGCGAGTGGTTCCGTCGGTCGAGGGCCATCGGTTGGTCCAAAGTTGGGGCCTTTGTGTGGGTCTCGGGGTTGTCTGGTTGCAGGGCGGCGGCTCTGGCGGCGGGAGGCGCGACGTTCGTGGGCGGAGCGTGCGTCTCTGGTGCGGGCAGGCAAACATGGCCGCGTGGGTGGCGTGGTTGCGGGCGGATGACGGAGTTAAGGTTCATCGGTGGGGTGTGAGTGCCGGGGTACACCACTTGTCCAGTCCTTTGACTGGCCGACGGTGGCGGTAGCCGTTGCCGCCGTACCCTTCCTGAAGGCCCCGTCGCGGCATTCACACTCTTGTCGTCTTGCTCCGGGTGAAAACCTGATCTTCGCTGATCGGGCGGTGGCGGCTTTCCATGGTCGTATCCTTCTTGGAGGCACCGCTTTGGAGGCCTGGCTTCGTTTTGGTCCGGTTCACCTCTCTATTGGTAGTCGGTGGGGTGGTGTGTCGGTGCCTGGCACCTTTGTATCTTGCCTTGGGTGTGTGCGGTGTGTGCGTTGTGCGGTATCTCGGATGTACTCGGTGATGTTTGCTTTATAAAATAAAGTGGGGGGAAACCCTTTTTCGGCAAAGGATGTAAGAGAAAGAAAGTGCTGAAATGCAGCGAACCGAGTCATTTTGTGTCCTTACCTGGGATGAAGGTTCCAGACAAGTTCTTGCACATACAGAATAAAAGCTTTGATGAGTGTACTGCCGAGTGCAACCGCAACTGCTCATGCACGGCTTACGCTTATGCCAACTTGAGCAGGGCTGGTGCTATGGCCGACTCATCGAGGTGCTTGGTTTGGTTAGGGGAACTTACTGACGCTGGGAAAGGAACCGCTGGCGAGAACCTTTACTTCCGACTTGCCGATGCTCCTGGTATTTGGTCTCCCATTTCCTCTATTTCCATGGAAATAGCATGTGTTTCTAGGCACTTAACTAGCTTTCTAAATTTTTCATGGTATTTATGCAAGTGAATTTTCAATTTCTTACCGGTTGTATTTATGCAGTTGACAAAAAGATAAGTTCAGTAAAGATTGTACTCCCGATTGTGGCATTCTTGCTGCTACTAACATGCATAGCCCTCGTCTGGATGTACAAATGCAGAGGTAGAGTAACAAACGTCCTCTTATTACTGAAATATGACATTCTTATAGCACAAGTAAAGAAATAATGGATGTCTCAACCAGCAGGCAAACGGCAAAGGAGAGAAAACCAGAACGCACTAATGCAAGGATACTTTAGTACATCCAACAGACTCGGAGGCGAAAGTACATAATTTCTATTTGTTAGCTATGAAGACATCCTTTCAGCAACAAATTTTTTCGCTGATTCGAACTTACTTGGACGCGGAGGTTTTGGCAAAGTTTACAAGGTAACAGAAAGTGATACTTGTAGCATAACATGTATTGGATAGAAAAGTAAACAAACCTAATTTACCCTTCAATTGTTTTTTAACTCTAGAAAAATCCTTAACTTCGATTATTTTTTGGTGATCTAAAAAAAATTGTTGCCAAAGTACCGCCCACCACACACACATTAGTTGTCGTAACCAAGAAATTGCCCCTGACTTGGATGATGTGGTGTGGATATGTTGATGACTTATGGTCCTCTATTTATTATTATTATTGCTGACCAAATAACTTGAAGTGGGTACCAAATTAGTGAAACATGTCTGTCTTGATGCCATATTGTCTAAATCGACATTGTTTGGGATGAGTTGGTGATTTCCACTAGTTTTGATGTTCAAATTTACAAAGTTGAAATAATATCTCCTCGGCTCAAAGTTAAAAGGGTGACAAAGTGCACTTCGTGTGAAAAGGCAACTAGATGAGTCAAGGCATTGCTGCTCAACTGAGAAATATCTGCTTATGTAGGGCACACTGAAAGGTGGAAATGAAGTTGCTGTTAAGAGGCTCAGTAAGGGTTCTAAACAAGGTATAGAGGAGTTCAAAAATGAAGTAGTTCTGATTGCCAAGCTGCAGCACAAGAACCTAGTCAGACTTCTTGGATTTTGCATTCAGGAGGATGAGAAGTTGCTGATCTACGAATATTTACCTAACAAAAGTTTGGATGCCTTTCTTTTTGGTATGTGCTAGTTTGTTGATCACATATAGCAAAATTCTTACATTGACCAAAATGATATTCATTATGACTAGTTTCATTTCATGCTAATCATGACAGATGCTGCACAAAAACATGTGCTTGATTGGCTGACGCGGTTCAAAATAATTAAAGGGGTAGCAAGAGGGCTTCTTTATCTTCACCAAGATTCAAGATTAACAATAATTCATAGAGATCTCAAAGCAAGCAACATTCTATTGGATACCGAAATGACTCCAAAAATTTCAGATTTTGGTATGGCAAGAATCTTTGGTGCAAACCAAAATCATGCAAACACAACCAGGGTCGCTGGGACATAGTAAGTAGACCACTAAAAGGCTACTTTTTATGGTTAAGGAGACTTTATACGTTCCATACTAACCTGTTGATTGTTTTAAACAGTGGCTACATGTCACCTGAGTAAGCGATCGGAGGTGCCTTTTCAGTGAAATCCGACACTTATGGCTTCGGCGTTCTTCTATTGGAGATTGTTAGTGGGTTGAAGATCAGCTCACCTCAGCACAAGACAAACTTTTGTAGTCTGATAACTTATGTAATTTTTATGGAATACGCAAAGTTACAAGTTAACAACCTTGCAGGATAACACACAAAAATATTTGTAACATGATTTCCTCATATTGGCCAGGCATGGAGAGTATGGGAAGATGGAAATGCAACTGAGCTAGTGGACTCTTCAATTTTGCCAAGCTGCGCACTTCAGGAAGTTTTACGGTGTATTCATGTGGGACTCTTGTGTGTTCAAGACCATCCCGATGATAGGCCACTAATGTCAGCTGTTATGTTTATGATAGAGAATGAAAGTGCACTGCTTCCAACTCCAAAGCAACCTGTATATTTTTCTCCAAGTAAGTGTGACGATGGAGAAGCAAGGGACAGCATGAACTATTCAGTAAATGTAATGAGTTCCACAACAGTAGAAGGCCATTAGATGTTTAATAACATAGTTTGCACACATCCTAGTATAGCTAGTTGTATGCTTCACAATTTACTTTTTATGTACCGAACTCTTACTTAGGTGCTTGTAATATTTGTGTGTTTATTGTATAAGAAAAGTTGTGAATAACGGAGGCGTGGTAAGATGTTGATCTCATTCTGTTACTCAGGCATGGAGATTATAGGAAGATGGAAACGCAATTGAACTTGTGGACTCTTCATTTGTTACAAGTTGCCCATTTAACGAAGTTTTGCGGTGTACTCATATGGTAATCTTGTGTGTTTAGGACAGTGCTAATGATAGGCTACTAATCTCATCGGTTATGTTTATGTTAGAGAACGAAAGCGCACTGCTTCCGACTCCAAAGCAACCAGTAATTGTGCGGATGGAGAAGGAAGGGAGAGCACCGAGAACTCTGTAAATGCAATGAGTATCACCACACTCAATGGCCGTTAGATGCTTTATAACTTAGTATATGCGAATCTTAGTATAGCTAGTTGTATACTTCATGATTTAGATTTACTCTCCCTGAACTGACATTTGGCATATGTGTATTTATAATATCCATGAGTTTATTGAATGCGAAAAGTAATGAATAACATAGGCGGATCCATTCTCACCCTACCCCTGTCTAAGCTACTAAACATATCTTTCTGTTGAAACAGGAATTTTAACATATTTCAACTATCAGAAGCCATCCATGATAAGATTGCCAGCTTTTGCAGTTTGGTCGCCTGGAAAGTTGTATGTTTCCAAAACATTGCAAAGTAATGCAATCATCGTTAATCCATGTAACCATGGCACACGCCATTTGATTCATCAAACAAACTGCACAGTGAGACTCAAAATACCCCTTTGGGCATTCGCACCTCAAGCAAACAATAGCCAGATTCAGTTCAGAACGGAAATCCCAATGCGTGTTAGTACCTTTGCTCAAGCCGGCACTTCGAAGACCCTGAAGTGTAACATCGGCGTGGCTTCGACGGGCCGCCGGACTGCCGCCTCGCCCTTGCTCGCATCGGTTCGGCGACAGGGACTGCCACTGCGCCACCACGGCGTGAGACGGTTGCTTCCTCCGAGGCCTGTACGCCTAGACCGGCGCGCCGCACTGGAGGTCGCCGACGCAGCACCGCGGCGACGCGCCGTGCTGTGCCGTGCCGCCGACCGCTCCTCTAGTTCGCCACAGATCGTACATCTCGCCGCTTTCCTTTATTTTTGAGTGGTATCTCGCCGCTTTCCTGATCCTCCTATTTGGATTTTTTCTTAGCAGATCCTCCTATCTTTTTTTTAGACCTATCTGGCAGTTGTACTGTAGTACTCTACCACTCAGTAGCCCTTGGCCCATCTTACGGGGCCGAAAGCCCGTGTAATGGTCCACGGTTAGGAGGCCCATATCGAGCGCTCGTGCCGTTTCCAGCAAAGTTCTTTCCCTTTTCTCAAAATAAAAAAGTTGCTGTAAAAAAACCTAATTACTTAATTGTACGCGTGTTTTGTGGAGAAACGGAGTGGCCGGACTCTCATATGCTTGCATGTGTTATGTTTTTTGTCTCCTAGCGCTTGTGACTGTTGGCATTAAATGTATTCGTACTAGTCACTTCAGTGGAAAAAAAACTGGTCCATGTGCATTTATTTCGGATTTTTTGAATTTTTTAAAAGTCATATCTTTCAAAACGTGCATTAGAATTTAGATCTCTTTTCACTGTTGGAATCTTCATGACGAGATCTTTGAATCTAGATCCCGCTTGGGTATATTTTGATGAAATTTGTTTGATGCCAACTTTCGTGTTATATGGTGCAACTCTACTACTACTTGGTGCAACTTTAGTATTGCATGGCGCAATTTGTGTGTCAAGTTGCAGTTGCAGCTTTTGCATCACTGAACAGTGATCAGCTCCAGATTTTCCGGTCTCTAGCTACCTGGTGTAGCTTGATGTTCAGACGAGTGAAGGCACAAGCCGTCGGGGCGGGGTGCTGCCAGGCTCTATCAACGGTCTCGTTAGCTTGATGCATTCTAGTTCTGATCCTCCTATTCTTGAGTCCATTCTGCGGATTCGATGCCCGGCTGTCACTTGCAAAGCCGCTCTCCCCCGATGAGACGATCGTCTCCAAGGGTGGGGGACTTTGCGCTCGGCTTCTTCTCCCCAGACAGCTCTAACACGAGCATGTACCTTGGCATATGGTACCACAACATCCCCGGCCACACCGTCGTATGAACTGCCAACCACAACGATCCAATTGCCGCCACCCCATCTTCGACGCTCGACATCATCAACAGTTCCGACCTAGTGTTGTCGGACTCCCAATGTCGCACTCCTAGGGCGGTGAAGAACAAGGGCCAGTTTGGATGGCATCCTCGGGTCCATGCCTGGGATAATTCGGTGCCTGGCATCGGCTTGGTAAGCGACATTTTTCTGCCTGGCCAGGCTAGCCTGGCAGGGCCTTGTTTGGATTCTACGTTGCCTGCTGCTGTGTCAACTAGTGAATAAAAATGCTAATTAAAGGCCAGGCGTGTTGCAGCACGTCCAGGCACACGCAACTGGACGCCTGGGATAGGCTAAGCCTACTGCCTGGGCAAAACATCCTCCTTTTCTTCTGCTTTTTTAAATTTATCCAGGCTAATCACACTGATGGGCCAGCCAGGCCAGGCACGCAATTTCTCCGTGTGGACGCGAACAAAACAGCCACCAGGCAGAGTCCAGGGACCTGTCCAGGCCAGGTATGAAGTGGTATGGATACGAACCAAACACGCCACAACTCCTTGTTCTCAAGGCAAACCATTAGTGAGTCGGCCCTGTATTGGTACATTTCCTTTTCTATTTTAGTTACCTTCAACTGTTAGTCGTTTAAATCATTTCTATTTCCTTTTTTTTTCACTTTTGTTTATATTTCCAAATATTCTAAATACATATTGACAAAATT